CTGAAAATGTTTTGGTACGTGCAAATGGTACTACATATATTAGAAAAGATGCAAACTCCAGACGGTGTGAGGGTTTTCTATTTTGGGATGACTTATCCAACAGGTAAAAATACAAAATATTAATTTTTTGTTTACCTCTAAACATTATTTATAATATATATGTATATCTAATGTATGGGTTTTTAGTTCTGATTCAACTGTTTTTGGAACACCACCTGCTGCAAAAAGAAACATTGCAGTAAGTTATAACATTAATAATATAACATAACGTATAACATAAAAAAATTAAATGAAATTTTAGTTAATAAAATTAAAGTATTTTATATATTTAAAACATTATTTTAAAAATTTGCACAGTTTTTTTACGATATTTTTTGCCATACCATGTTTTTTTGTAATTATTAATTAAAAAATTTTATATTTTTAGGACAGTGTTTTATTTAGATACTCCTACCTACTTAATGTTAATTTAAAATTTTAAATAATTTTGGTTAACATCATACCAGGCAAATATATAGTAAATGCCAATAAACTATAAACCAATAAATATTAAAAATCGAAAGGTAACTTGAATTCGCTTGTATTTGAATTTACTTGTACTTGAATTTACCTACATGAAAAATCAGCAAGTATCATGCAAAACTATTGTCATATACTCTGATAGCCAAGCAGCTCTAAAGGCAATTCTCTCACCAGAAATCAAATCACGACTGGTGAAAGACTGTCTAGAAGACCTGATAGAGCTAAGTGGTTAAAATAAGGTGACCTTAGCCTGGGTTCCAGACCATAAGGGATATCAGGGCAACGAAAAGGCCGACGAATTAGCCCGAGGAGGCTCAGATAAGGCCATGACAGGCCCCGAACCCTTCTGTGGAGTTGCTAAGGCATTGTGCAAGGCATCCATTAAACAATGTGGATGCAAACAGAGTCTCAGGAATGGTGGAACAACTATCCAAGACTGAGACAGGCCAAACAGTTCATCAAGGAACCATCGGCCAAGTTCACGAAAGACCTACTGGGTCAAAAGCGTCAAATCGTTAGGATAACAGTAGGTCTTCTTACTGGACACTGTCGCCTCAAAAGGCACATGAGTGTCATAAATCCAGCAGAAGAAGCAACTTTGTGCAGGTTCTGTGAAGAAGAAGAGGAAACAATATTCCACGTCCTGTGCCAATGTGAATGCCTGGCTGGAACGAGGTTTCTAACATTGGGCGAAGAAAAGCCAATTGCATGCAACTACGTGCGGGAGCCACTGTCAAAGCTACTAAGACTAATAAAAAGACCAGGCTAGACGACATACTCTAAAACAAACAGGAGTCCCACAATAGATCTGAAAAGGTCGGGGTGGACAAGGACAAATAACGTCCTACTCATAATCTAATCTACCTACATGAAAAAATCATCATAATTATATTACTAAAAAAATATACCTACATATTTACGTATTTTTTTTAACATACTACTTTGACAATACTGGTAAGTTTAAAACTCTACGCCACTGGCGAGCATATTATGGACACTGTTTACAACGTTGCCAGCCGGTCCTAAGAGATCTGTCTTTCTCTCTTCCACTCACTAACAATTTTAAAACAATAACAGTCCGCATTGTATGGGATTTATGAATGAAACATTTTGTCTATATGTTGTAATGTCTTTGGGAATATAATCCAGATTCTTAAACCTAAACATAAAATGGGCTGTGAGCAATAGTGCCAGTGTAGTTCAAACAGAGCTAACGGGGATTCTCATAGCAAAAGAAATAACCTGAAACAATATCACTGGAAGGAATATGCTTATCTATACAGATAGCAGACAAGCACTACTTACCCTGAACATCATCAGACCACGAATTTATTCAGGGTTAGTACTAGAATGTCACGAAGCTTTGGCCGAAGTATCCATCAACAACGTGGTCACCTTAAGATGGATTAGAAGTCACGCCACATCGAAAGGTAACCGTCTTGCTGATTCACCAGCCAAGAAACCCAGGCAGCAGACTAACGTCATTATGACATCTTATTTTCATAATACAGGACGTCATTTATCCTCTGAAAATTAACGTGATAATGACGGTAAAATGACGTGAATATGTCACAGCCTAAATGACGTCATATTTAGACGCCCTTTTCACGTCTAAATATGACGTGTTTATGACGTTGTTTTAATGTCATGCACCTTTGTCGTTATTCTTTATACTTATTTGAGACATCACCATGACGTTACATTTGATATTGTTCCTCCTTTGTAACTTTTATATAGGACCTGTGGGTCACTTAGGACCGATTCCACCGTTGAGTTAAACGGAGATTAAAATGACATTGTTAATGTAAAAATGTCATTTTAAACTTCGTTTAACACAACGGTGGAATCGGTCCTTAATAAAACAAAATTAGAAAATGAAATAATTATAATTAAAAAGAAAAAAGTTTAAATACATGAAATTTTATTGGCAAAAAACATTAATTTATATAAATCCAACTGCTCCAAATGTGGACAACTTGTTCGTTATTATTTTGGTTTGGCACAATGATTTTTCTGAGTGCCGCCATTTTATACTATTTCACGAACCTGGGAACATTTTAGGAAACATCCTATGAATGTAAAAGATATAAAACCATTAAAGAATAAGTATAATATAGATATAAAAATACATTATGTTGGGTTGATGCCACATACTTTGATTACTATACGGTGCAAGAGAGAGGTCGGCGTATAATAAAACAGCAGTCTTCTGCGTATCCAAAACCGACAATTCCGAAGCAGAAGCGGATGATTAAAACGCACCTATTAAAAATATTGCGCCAAGATGTAGGCAACACGTAATAAGGGATCAAAATGGCGGAGTTTTCTCTCCTTTTAAAAGGCACTCAGAAAGCATTCTCCGTATAGTAAAAGAAAATCAAAGTATGTGTTGATACTGATATAACTTTTTTCACTGACCCTCTTAACTTTTAACAACAATCCTGAATGCACACAGGCCATGATGCACACACCATTACACATGGCCGTGGCCGATGCAACAATCTGCGATACCGTTCTCGTGCTTGCTCGAACACACACGAGCCGTACTCCACAGTCCGATAACCATAGACAGACGCAGTCATGTGTCACGTGGTGTCATCAGTCTTTATGCATTTAAGCGCCAGATTTAAACGTTAATAGACCTAACAGTTTTAAAAAATAATTGTTTAGGCCATATTATTTTACATAAATAAAATGTATTGAAATCACGTTTAATATAAACCTTAATTTAATAGTGACAATAAATTAACGTCACAATGACGTCTAATTTGTGACGTCAAAAAGACGTTAAGGAAGTGACGTTATAATCACCTCATTTTTTGGTAACATGACGTCGATGACCAAGAATTACCAAAAAATGTCGTCAGTCTGCTGACTCGGAAGCAGCCAACCAAATACTTTTTGGACCTGGCCATTCTATTGGCCTGACAAAACCGGTAGTGACAGACCTAATCAAAGAACATTCCCTTGTGAAATTCAAGGAAAGAAGGGATGAAACAAGAAACTGCAGAGTTGCCATAGGGAGCTCTTAAGTTATCCTGACAACACTTCAGCAAACAAATATTTGACTATGACTAGACAGAATCTGCGCCTAGTCACAGGCATTCTGACTGGTCATTGCCAAGTACGAAAGCATCTCCATATCATGGGCTGTCAGAATCCGCACTCTGCAGAGGGTGCGATTAAGAAGATGAGACCATCGAGCATATCCTTTACGATTGCTCGACGCTCTCATTTATTAGAAGATTTGTGTTCGGCGAGTATCGGCTAACACCGGCCGATATAAGAGAAGTACCTCTTGGCGACATTGTCAACTATATTAAATCTGTAGGCTGGCTCACGAGCTAGGAGGTGCCTATCTTCTCAGGAGGATGCACAATGGGCCTAAGTGCCATGGGGGGGGGGGTAACCCATCCTCTACACATTACAGATAGAACGATATCGCAAATAACTTTTATTTTAACAATTTTCTTAAAAATTCAAATTTTGTCAAATTTCTCGAATACGGACCATTTTAGGAAAATTATTTACTGAACAAAAATTATAGAGAATAACATTACAAGTAAGTTTTATTTAAAGAATGTTCTTCTCCAAGCGTAAATAACAATTATATTCCATAAAGTAAAAAAACGACCCCCCATAAAGTACCTCCTAGATGTTCTGACCATGCCCAAAATTTAATTAGTTTACCGCAGGATGGATTAACACTTAAATTTGGTGTTTTCCTCTTTCTCAAAAATTTCGAATACAGTCCATTATAGAGAAATTGTGTATGGGACAAGAATTACAAAGAATAATATTACAAGCAACTTTTTCTGATGAAATTTCTTCTCCAAGTGTAAATAACATATAGGGGACCCCAAAATGTAAAAATCCGTCAAAAACTCGAGGTCGAAAAAAAAACATGATTACTACATACTTTCCATATCCTTATACAGACAGGAAGGTAAAAATTTGAATATACTGATTTTTGATCATAAATTATACTGTCAATTATAAAAACATAAAAAACTTTATTCTGGAAATAGGTCTTACAATGAAAAGTTATTGTTATTACAGAAGTTTTCAGAGTATGGGAACACATTAAACTGAAGAAAACTCAGTTCATTAAAAATTGTACCTAAATAATGAAGTATAAAGTATACTTTATACATAATTGTATATTTTTTACTTCACTACCAGTTTTGGAGTTTGCTAATTCACAAATTATAATATCAATATGACAATAAATTATGAATAGTAGCTAGTAATAATAAATTGCAAAAATTACAATGTTTTTAATAGTTATAAAAATGTATAATATGTAATTTTGAATGGTTTATCAACTATATCTCAAAAATAACTGGTTTTAAAAAAATGTTTGCGATAACTCATTTTTTTAAACTCCCATAGCTCAGGTATAACATCCTGCATAAACAAAAAACTGTCAAATAAATACATTTAAGGAAACTTAAAGATAAATCACTATTAAAAAAAGTTTATACACCTGCGATACTGGCTAACTTTTTAAGTAACATTTCCATTGGAAGATTTTTACGCTTATTTATTTTTTTTACTTTCATGTTACGTTTCTTAATTTTTTTATTCTTAGGTAGTTTTATATCCTTTGCAGGTAGGGTTCGTACAAATTTTCGTCTGCTCATATAAAGATCCTGGTTCGAGTTCGGTTCATCAGACTTTGGTTGTTCAAATATCGTTTCTAAAGATGAAGAAAATCGTTTTATTTTTTTATCTAAATAATAATTAATCACATTTGCGTCTATTGTTCCATTAGAAGACAGTCTCTTAGGTTTCGATATTACTCTCTTTTTTTCAGTTTGTATTGGAAGAATTTTTTTACGAGAAGATCGTCTTACAATTTCTGATTCAGCTGCAGATTTAACATCTTTTTCTTCTTTGCTTTTAAGGATTTCTGTTTGTGTTTCGCCTATTTCTAATTGAGATATATCAACATCTAATATAATGTTATCTACTTTATCCATCTTTAATTTAGTAAATAGCACAGTAAATAGTAATTAGTAAATAACTTTTATTTCTGTCAAGTTTTACATTTATAAACCAATGTTGCAACAACTTCTCGATTCTTTCATTGCGTTCGGTTTGCCACGTTCCTTTAACTTCTTTAACACTTTTAACTCCAAACGACTCTTTTAGCGTTCGGTTTAGTCCGATTAGTGACAGTTTAAAATGTCATTTAAAAGCACCCTAAAATTTGTCCCGCTCCAGCCCCTGACTGACCGAACTCGCCTAAGGTATGATAAATGAAAAATTTTAAAATTAGTACCTCCCAGCACGTAAAAATAAAAAATATACTGTAGAATTAAATTTTCTGCATACAAATTTTTGGTAAGTTGACGATTACAGAGAATGGACGATCACTAACGAGAGTTCCCGTGGCTCCCACTAGATAGGCATCTAGACTGTTTTACGTTTTGGCACAATGTCACATGTCAAGTTATAAAAAAGTTAATTTATTTTATGAACATGAAAATAAATACGAATGCAAGATTGATAATATGGGTGGATATTAAATTATTAAAATCTCTGTAATTTCTTTGTACATTGACCACCACTGTATTTTCAATTTCTATCTTTCAAAAATGTCTACGTCCGGGTATGTTTTTTAGATTAAGACAAAATCAAGCAAACAATATAGTTTTATTATGCATTATATTAATGGCATGGGGTATGATATTGGAAATCAAAGTATTTTATCTAAAACACCAAAAACAATTGCGTTTAAGCGATTACAATAAACAGGTCAGTATGCAAGGAATTAATATTGATTTTTGTTACATAACAGTTTTGTAGATGGATGTTATATTTGAAACGACCAGTGTGGTAGAAAAAGAAGCCAAACGTACGTCTCTTCTGTTGAATCATTTAACAGCGATGCTAGGCTCTCGAAATGAATTGAAACTAAATAATGGAAAATAATGTTAAAGAATCTCTAATGAAAAGCTCATCTTTGAATACTCCAAATATTAGATCTTTATCGCTTTAATATGTCAAAGAACCTCTTTTAATAGTTTTATTATATTTATGTAAGACCTAAGACAGTTGTAAAAATAAAATAGACATGAGCTTTGTGTTTCTTTCTCACAAATTTAAATCTTAAATTTAATAGGGATGAGCATAGAAAAATAAAAAGGGGATGAGTTGATAGAGAATTTTAGTGTGATAGGTACAAGTATTTCCAAATATTGATACTGAAATATGCAGTGAATAGTTTTATGTTCTATTGACTACCCAGACAGCACACCAAATCCTTTGGATATCTACTGAACATCCCAATATCCACTGAATGTCCAGTCCATGGTAGATATCTATTTTATATCCATGAGATGTAATTTATAGACATGCAAATGTCCATAAATAATAGTAATTATATAGCAAATTATTAAAAAAATACGCCATTGTGGCTAATAGTACGGTTCAGATATTTAAAATTAATTTTTTAAGGTGTATTCAATATCCCATGAACATCCACTAAATATATCAAAGTCTAGGCGCGAACGCAAACCATCGTGGATATCCACTAGATGTTATTTGATTCTGCTTACTAAGTATAGATGGCGATACCACTTTCGCATCTACTCATGCTCGACCCGCCGTAATTGAGTTCGATCGAAATTTGTGTCCTAATCAAAGAAGTAGAGAGGGTAGAACGATAAGGTACCGTCTGCGCATCCATCACGAGTGTAGAAATTATGCCTGATTCAGCCTTCCACTCTTACACACGTAAATGACAAAGAGAGGTTGCCCTAAAGCACTGTAAGCAAATTCCAGGATCGACTTTATTCAGCGATTATGTTCATGTTCAGCTCTGTTTTTTGTTTGTGTTTTGGCTGTTGTAAGCTTTTTTGGCGTCAATTCTTTGTTATCTTGCTTATATTTATGATTTTTTATGCTTTTATTCCGATTTAGTATTAAATTATACTTGTTAATTATTTTTCGATGCACTATTTTATAATTGTTGCACAAAATGTTGTTAAACCGTTCCTGAATTTTGTGTACAAAATGTGCAAAACGAAATTGTGCATAGTGTCCAGACTTTTTCATTGACAGTTATCATTCTACCCCTCTCCACTTCATTGGTCCTAATCAAACTCCATTAGAGACTGGAGTCGAGAATTTCCATTTATTGCTGAAGAGTCCTAATAAGGATGACTTTCTCCTTAGTGGGCAAAATCAAAGGCAGAGTGTTGAAAATATTTTTTATCTCTATTTTTTTTCGACGTTATTCAATAATCATTGGTTACTTTTGAACCTCTACTAAAGATATCCATAAAATATTTTGCTGAATATACGAATATCTTCTATATCCTGGGATATAGACGGACATTTGGTTGGATATCCATATTGGATATTATTGAATATCCACAAAATATATTCCTGGGATTTCTTGTATTTTCTGGAAGATACCCATTAGATATTTTGCTGAATATCCATTAGGATATCTTCTATATTCTGGATATAGACGGACATTTGGATATCCGGAATATTTCTGATATCCTGTGGATATATTGGATATCCACAAAAGATATTCTGTGGATATCTTTGGGATTTGGTGTGTTGTCTGGGCATTTTATTTCTTGAATCCAAATAATTTAATTATAGGAACTGCATTATTGTGAATTTTAAGTTTAAAAAACATTCTCTAAATATCTTCTTTAATTTATAGAAGTCAAAAAACAGCATTTTAATATTAACTTTTGACATAATAATAAAAGGCTTATTACAAAATTTAAAAAATATAAAAATTGTGTCTATACATTATGCCAGTGGCGTAACTAAAAATTGTGTGCTGTTATCCCTATATTCTTTAAATTGTGTTATATACAGGGTGTTTTTTAAACATGCGGCAAAAATTTAAGGGGTTGTTCCTTGGATAATTTTGTTCTTTGATGATTTTTAAAATACCGTTTCGAGAAAACTATTTTATTTTTAAAATTATTTATAGTCTAAATAAAAATAGGTACTACACTGGGTTAACTAAGAACATACAACTTTATTAAAAATTCGTTGTTTTTATTATTTTTAACAACATTCCAATTACTAAAAACGGCTATTTTTTCCACTTAACAAAACGGATTTTCAAAAATCATCAAAGGACAAAATATTCTTTACTTGAATTTTTGGCGGTTTTAGAATGACAATTGACGTGCACGTGACGTTTTAAAATGTAACATTTTTGCGGTTCATAAAGTAGTGACGTCAAGGAAGAAACTGTTATAAAACGGTCTTTGAAACTGTTTCCTCAAAAAAAAAAAAATGCTTTTAGAATAGTCCAAGGAACAACCCCTTAAATTTTAGCCGCATTTTTAAAAAACACCCTTTATAGGGGACCTTATAGGTAACAGTATATTGGAGTCTATTCTGTAACAATTCCTCTATATTTTAACGGTCGTTAAAATATTGGCGGCCTTTAAAAATATTTTCGTATTCGCTATTTTACTTCTGTCATTACCCAGACAGCACACCAAATCCTTTGGATATCTGCTGGACATCCCAATATCCACAGAATGTCCAGACCATGGTGGATATCTATTTTATATCCATGCCTATAAATAATAGTAATTATATAGCAAATTATTAAAAATTTACGCCATCGTGGCTAATAGTACCGTTCACATATTTAAAATTAAATTTTTTTAAGGTGTATTCAATATCCCATGGACATCCACTAAATATATCAAAAGTCTAGGCGCGAACGCAAAACATGGTGGATATCCACTAGATGTAAGTTTTGAATTTGCCCACTAAGAAGAAAGTTATTCTTGGACCGGTTTCATCCTTATTAGGTCTAGAATTATTTCCTTTTTCAAGAATAACCCGCCTGGCTTTTATTCCACCTAGTCTCTGAACGAGATACAGCGACCTTAGATATTTTGCTGGATACCCATAGGATATCTTCTATATTCTGGATATAGACGGACATTTGGATATCCATATTCTGTGGATATCTCTGGGATTTGATGTGTTGTCTGGGTATTTAAACAGATTCCTTACAGCACACATTATTTCAGAAATTTTTCAAACTTATAACATTTCAAGCACAAGTTTCTGAAATATTTTAGTTAAATAACTCACTGCAAATGTTTCTGAAACATGGTATACATGTTACACAAATGGTTACTAAACGGGTTATGTTGTAAAAGGCTAACAATTAATGAAGAATTTCTGATTTGTAAAAGAAGACGGGATATGTATAGTTAGAATATTTTATTTTTTATTTCATGATGTCCCTCTGTCCAGCCACCAGCTAGCAACAAAAGCCGATATTTTAAATAATTATAAATTTGAGTTGTTGGTTTTTGATATTCATGCCTTGTGAGCTTGTTATATCGGTAGGGTTACCAGATTTCCGAAAGTGAAAAGCGTGACAATCGTGACGATAGAGTATTTTTATATAATCATTTTTTGTGAGCATTTCTCAAAAAAAGCACGATATACCCACCTAAGAGTAAGAGAGCAAAATATATGGGAACACTCCCATGACTTAGGACCGATTCCACCGTTGTATTAAACGGAGTTTAAAATGACATTTTTACATTAAAAATGTCATTTTAATCTCTGTTTAACACAACGGTGGAATCGGTCCTTAGTGAATAGCTATCCAGGATATCTATTCACTAAGTCATGGGAGCGCTCCCGCATGGGAGTGCTCCCATATATTTTGCTCTCTTACTCTTAGATGGGTATATTGTGCTTACTCACTTTTAGCCCAGATACATGCGTAGTAAGGTCAGATTTTATACCATGCGAGGGAGAATTGCGGGTTTGCCAGATTTAGGTCCGTATTTATCACAAAGGAAATTTGAACTATAAGGACCGATTCCACCGTTGTGTTAAACGAAGTTTAAAATGACATTTTTACATTAACAATGTCACTTTAATCTCCGTTTAACACAACGGTGGAATCACAATATGGGTGGAATTGGCTCTTAAATAGTAGATCAAAGTTATTCTGTCGACTTGGCAACGTTGGCATGGGAGTTATGAGTGCTCCCATGAGTTAGAGAATAGGTATCCAGGATAGAACTAAGAACTAAGTTCTGGTTACACAATATATCCCCTATAGTAGTGCATCTCACTTGTTAAAGAGTTGGCACTAAGTTTGCAGCGCAAGAATGCGTCTGTGTCTGGCCGCTCAACTAACTCGATATGGCGGTAAATTCAAATATAATTTAAAGGCGAAATTTAAATTTCCCGCCAAAATTGTAAATTTTCAGCCGCGGAATGGCGGGAATTTTTAAATATATTCATTCGGCAATAATTATTGAGAAGTATATTGCATGTTCGATTAAACGAGCTGTAAATCCAGGCGCTATTTTTATTTTGATAGCTAAAAATAATACTAATTCTTTTATTATTAGCTATTACAATAAGAGCAGCATTTGGATTAACAACACATTTAAAAGAACATGTAATATACTTTTCAATTTTACCTAAATTACTTATTTTTTACCTATAGAGGTTAGATCTGAAAAAAAATTGGCTCTGGTAAAAAAACAAAAAATTGTATAAAGTATTTTATTTGAAAAATTATAAAACTTATTTAATATATTTTAAAGACGAAGATAACTCTAGCCATATCCATTTTACTGAAAAAAAAAAAAAGAAACTATTAAATGAAATCATTTAGTTATTAAGAGATGTTTGTGATAATACAGTGGCAGCTATCGAATGTTATACAGTGGCAGCTATCGAATGTTATACAGTGGCAGCTATTGAATGTTGTACAATATGTTTTGCTAATGTCCAAGTAAAAACTACAAAGAGTTAGCATTAGTGGGAGAAGGAATAGAATACTATGAACGTAGCCAGCCGGCTACGTGGGGATGCATCACACCGTGTGCCTGTTCATATTACACAGCACACAAGGCAACATTCATATTATTCGTTTCCTGATCGAACTAATGTGCTAACTCTTTAGTTTTATTTTCGATTCTAGCCAAGCGTATTGGAAAGTGTTCATTAGCCGATACTGTATATAAATGCTAAAATCAATAAGTGAAATAAAAAAATTTAGTTTAAATGGACATCTACTTCGAAAAAAGTAAATTATTATACTTGAATTTTAAAGGCTGTTGCCACTGGAAAACTATTATCTAGGGCTTGGATGACAGCCATAGGACTCCCTCCTTGAATCGTGTCCATAGGAAAGCATAAGATCATAGTTAAATTATAATATTAAGAGGGTAGGTATTAACTGAAAAATTATTACAAACTTACCTCAAAATTGGCACCTACATTAAAAGAAGGGAAAACGGAAACATAAAATTGTTATACTTGAATTTTAAAGGCTTTTCCCACTGGAAAAGTATTATCTAGGGCGCAGACCCTTGGATGACAGCCATAGATAGCAATCCCTCCTCGATTCCTCTTTTTCTGAGTTTGTTGTACGTTTTGTTTCCCATATTAAATAAAAAAGCACTTAATACAACAACACAAATCACAATAAATATCGCTGAAACAAAATTAATATTAAATTTCGTAGAAGAAAAAATCAAAAAATTACCACTTGTCAACACTGACACTTCACGCTTCACTTATAAAAACTCAACGCTAAAGAATGAAAGATGATTCGAAATAGAAATTATTAACTGGTATCTCTTTCTTTTATAAGTATCTAAACAAAGAGAAGGAGTGGGAGTGAGTAACTCTCCGATCAGATTGTTTTGAATTCGTCGTCAACCAATGAACGTGCCGAAGTCAAAAATCAATAACGATACTAGCGCCATGAGACCTGTGTCTGGCCGCAGCGTAACTCAAAGCCATTTCTTGAATCCCAGTTACATTACTATAGGGGATATATTGTGTGGTTAATCCACACATGGGGCCATCTCAAAGAAATACGGCCATGTCAGTTTCTACCCCACTCCAGTTCATGTGAAACTCGCTCCTAGTAACCCGCTAGAGTCAGACATATTTAACCAAAAATATCGATTTAAACGATAGTGCTATTTATAATTCGATTGTTTTATTCGATGAAACCAAAATGTCATTCATTATTTGGTAAAAATATCAACATGGCGATAAAAAGTAAACGTGCAGTGATATGAGGACAATAAAATAAACTACTAATAATGTCCAACACACCACCAAATAACCGGAATAGTGCACAAAAAATTAGATTAACAAGTATGTAGAATAAATCAGCAGCACGCTGGTGTTTTATTTACTCTACGTAAAACATTGTTTTATAAATGTCAAGTTGACATGGCCTCATTGATTACTTCCTAGATTAATAATTAATCCATATAAGTATTTGCAAGTTATAAAATATGATCTAACAATTGTATTTTTTTACAGTTTTATGTGCAAGGAACTTGGTGAGAAAAGATTTATTCCGTAAGTTGACCTTTTCTAATTGAAAATTAAGTATGTATTTAGTATGTAATTACTAACCAGCTTTGGTCTATTTACAGGGCTTCCAGATCCTTTTGCAAAAATAAGCGTGGATGGTAGTGGACAATGTCATTCAACAGAAACTGTTAAAAATACTTTAGACCCAAAATGGAACTCCCATTATGATTTGTATATAAGTAAGAATGATAGTATAACAATATCAATTTGGAACCATAGGAAAGTACACAAGAAACAAGGCAGTGGTTTCTTGGGATGTGTTCGTATTGTAAATAATTTAATTCAAAGGCTTAAGGATACAGGATGTAAGTATTTTGATAAATCTTTAGTTTGAGCCCTATTTGGTTGATATTTTTTTTATAAAACTGTTGGTTTGAGTATTGTAATGTTGCGGAAATGAAGTGTAATTAAACAACCTATGATATGTTTAACAATATTTAATGTAGGTAAAATTTGAATATAAGTACACAAAACTTTTATATTTTCACAAAAGTGTTTTTTTACACTTATAGGCACCTAAAATAACTCAATTAACGAAATTTGTTGTCAGAAACCTGAAGAAATCATATTTTCTATATTTTAATAATTACATTTTAGGTTAATTTAATAATTCATTAAGGGTATGGTCAGAGACAACAGAGACGTGTAACTTTATAGGAAAAATTGTTCCCTGGTCCATTTAAATTACATATATGACTTTCTTTCTCTTTTACATTGATCTTTACATATATTTATCTCCCTCCAATAAAACTAACACCAATCTAAAAACTCGCGTTTTTGTACACATTTCTTTCTAGAGGTAAGTAATTTCCAATTTATTAAGAAAACCACTGTATAATGTGTGTGTTTAATAATATATTACATGGCTATAATTATTTTAGGTGAATTGGAACAGAGATCCATTGTTATAGCTACTTTTGTTCATTAAGTAGGTAGATGAATGTCTGGACAGCTTTAATGGCAGCACAAAGTTCCTACCTACTAGAAAAGTAAAATGTATGCAGAGTAAAAATTCTGCACATGTAGTATTGGCAAAGGACTTTTGAAATGATTAGAGATTGGCTATTTCTTACATACACCTACCTCTAATAGCCACTCTAAAGGAAGAAAAAAAATTGTATCACAAAAGGGCAGAATTTTAAATCAGGATGCATTGGAAAATAAATTTGGGGACATCAGATCGGTTTTGGATTTTAGAGGGAGATCAATCTCAAGAAAAGTTAATTTATCCTGCAGAACAACCAGTAGTTTTAAGTAGGATTTGCTATAACTTTATTAGAAGATTTGCTTGATAATAAATTGTAATATAATATGTTTCAAATGAAATTGAAAAAGAGTTAAACATGAAATTAGATTTTTCATGGGTAAAATGTTATATTCATTCAATCATTGTAAGGTAATCTATAATTAAGGGAATATGGAAAATAGGTATACCCTGGTGGTGTAAGAGACAGGTAAGGGGCAATGACAAAAAATTACAAAAATGTATTCATCTTTAAATAGTGTTTATTATTAATAATATTATTTGCTATGTTTGAAAAGTACCTCCTGCTGCAGAACAGATCGAATAGATTAGACTACTAGAGAAGGAGAAGGTCCACCTAGTAACCGAATTAGGAGACCAGGAAAACTTTTAGATGACTGGGGACACAACAGGAATGCACACACACAAGATACACAAACAAACGAAATAACAGGGGTAAGCCTTCAGCAACGTCATCTTTAAATGATGATAGTATGTCATCCTTCATTCCCTTTTAGAAGGCTATTGATCTTGATGACCCTAAGAGGAGTTAGCAGGGGGTGTATGGAATGGGTCTAGCAGGTTTTCGATCCAGTTTACAGGATGGGAACTTACTCGACTCGGGCCTTATACCTTTGTGTTGAGTGTATGTGTGTGTTTGTTTCGTTTCCATGGTTTCTATTAAAATAAACAGTCATAATATATCCATACCTTTTTGCCAGACTAACGTAAGCGACATTTGTTCAAATAGCACTTATGATAGTCTGGCAAAAAGGTATCGATATACTCTATACTTTATAAAATATTTGTTACATTAGTTTTTAAATATATTATGAATATATAACAACTGTTACTTTCTTTGCAATTTGTCACAAAATGATAGGAGGTACTTTCTAAATGAAGCAATTGTAGTTTGTTTTTTTGTACCTTACAAAAATATAATTTATAGAAAAAGAGTTTGGTGTATTATTTTTCCAAGTTTAAATATTTAATAATCAATAGAATTTTCAGGTTTTTTTTTAGCGAAATTTACAAGAGTAATAAAAACTATGTTCACTGCTTATATTAAACTGATTAAAACTTCCTTTATTAAAATGATTAAGTATTTATATGATAAAAAATTTGATGTTATTGGAAGCTTTTATATTTTTTAATATACAGTGAAACAATAGTTTTTGTTTCTCCTGTAAATTTGTATAGAAAAACTATTTATTTCTGAATCCATGTTTGAAATTCCCGCCCTAAAGCATTTTTAATTTTCCCGCTATTTACTAGTGGCGCCATCATAGACTGGTTGTGGTTACAATCGCCCAAATAACTTTTACCGAACAAAAAAAATACATTGAGTTACACGTCTCGCTGGATTGTCTCTGGTATGGTCCATTATTAACTGAAATATCGGTTACTCGGTCCAAAACTAACCGTTCTGCTTGTAATTCCTGAAAAATCGGTTAAATTAGGGGCGTGGTTATCTGAAAATGGTGACTCAAACGTCAATTCACTAACTGCTATGTTTTTATGGTTTTACTATTAAGTCGAATGTCAACCTAAACGTAAATCTAGGCTCTGGTCCAAATTAACCAAGAAATTAGATTTTTTCAGCAACCGCTGTCAAAAAATCCTGGTTACTTGTGGTTAGCAGTCTATTAATATCGGACCATACCCTAAATTTATTTTGGTTGTGATTTGACATTGAAGGATGTTATGTTATGTTGGGAATGGGGTGTTAATACACTGCGACCTGAAAGATCTATTGTGCCCCCTTCTGTCGCCAGTGTAGGATTTGAAGTGGCTTCAAGTTAGGTAAATCTCCCTCTTCTATTTGATATCCTCCTAGATATAGTGCCCTTGGATTCTGGAGTGCTACACATTCAGTTAGGATGTGAATGGAGGTTTCGTCCTCTTCCTCACAGAATCTGCACTCACTATCCTCTACTACTCTTATAGCAGATTCGACTCAAATGCTCTTGCTTGATGACAAAGCGCTTTTAGTTCTGATTTGTTTTTGGGCAGCATTTTTATAAATCAAATTTATATCTAGCAGTGCACACAGCAAGCACGAGCTAGAGTTCGACATTGGTGTAGCTCATCTTTATCAGGTTTGTTCCAACAACGATCTTGGAACAATACATAAACCAGTCCAAAACTTATTGTTGACAATCTGTCGATGACTAGTAATTGACAACTTGTCAGGTACTGGTCGGGGATTGGGACTCAACTTGGAAGTCGATTATGTTGGAACACATTTTTTAAATTCAACAGACGCATTATTACAATAATAAACCACAAAATAAAATAAATGATCATGAACAAAAACTATAAAGAGTAAACTCGATTAACAAATACAAATCAGAACTGTCAGAGACAATAGTTACAAATAATATAATTACAATCACGATATGTTCAGTTTATTGCGGCTTTGCGCATGTCTTGACAATTCGTTCCTATTCAGACCCAGGAACTGATTTGACAGTACACAAATCGGTTTGTGATTAGTTTTGGTTGTGTTGGAACACTATGTATTTGTACAGTTTCGAGTCTAAGGTTTGTTGGAACACAAATTCTAGACTGCGCAGAATCTCGACAGTACGCAAACTGATTTGGTTTGTGTTGGAACAAACCTTAAGTTATTCGACTGGCACAGTTAGCACTTGACATTTCAGGTTTCTAACAAATTTTTAACGATTATTTATAGTTGCCAAACCAAAAATGAAATCTATATTAATTTCGAAAGATTTTACACTCTCACTAATAATAAAAACAAAGATGGTAATATATTTAAAACTATTAAATAATTCCTAACCTCCAAAATGACATCAGCACTGAAAAAAGTACAGTTCCAAAATATTCGAACTTTGAGCAAGAGCGCCTGCCAGTCTAATAAAAATTTCACTATGCTTGGTACCGAGCAATTTGAGTCGAATGCAATAATTGACTTTTAATTAATTAGGTTTTGCCAGTCGAACAGACACCACTTAAAAAAGTCGAACTAAATGCGCATTAATGCAGCCAGTTGAATCCGCCATTAGTTTACTTAGGTGTCCTTTTAGTCGGCAATGCCTGGTAAGGATCCCTGTTACAATACGTAGCCTGTTCTTGATCAGGCAGATGCAGGCTTCTGATCTTTTCTGGTTATATTCACCCAGAAGTATCTTGGCCTGTCTCAGCCCCAAGAGATTGTTCCAATTATCGGTTCTTCTTCTGTCCAATTATTTTTTAATCTCCTAATATTATGTTACTGCTGATACCGCAGAATGGCTCAGGTCCTACAAAGGGTGTTTGAGCCCCTATCCTTGCAAGACTATCTGCAGTCTCGTTACATTGAAGCTTGTCCACTGGTGGATATTTTCTCCACCAGCTATTTAGCAGGAATGAATTACACTCGACATGTATATAAAGAATAAGGAGGAAGTAAATTAGGGTAAATAAGGTGGTGTAACTGGTGTAATTTACAGTGGTGGACACTGCACCAACAGCGAACCAAAGAACCTAATATAAGAAGTATACTGTTGCCAAGTTGTGAATTATTTCGTAAATAAAAGGACTATATTTTTGATATTAAAAAACTTAAGTTGGAATTTCAACAAAATTATCGATACGTAAGCTTTACTAATATACGCCAACATCTGAACAGCGGATATTACTATTGAAAATTTACCAAAAATTATATTATATTAAGGGCGTAGAGGATAATTTACTGTAAAATTATTCATTATAATTATATCTGTCATGCTCTGTCATTACAAATATACTGTGTTACTAAGTGTTCAATTAAAATCGAGGAAAGAGAAATTTAAAAAGTACCTTATTTTTAACATAACATTTCCAAACAATTTAAAAAGTACTACTTCCATTAATTTATTTCCAGTCATATCCTACGATTTATTTATCCATTTTGGTTGAATGGTAGTGGTATATAATAATTAAATATTATTACATAAATAAATAATCTATAAAGCAATAAATAATGTACTTTTCGAAAACTTTTAAACATAATTACTTTGTGTTAACACACCATAAGAGCACGCTTCGCTCTTCTCACCCACCTCCTGACCACTACAG